CTAGAATTTTTGGGGGAGGTGGCGGCCATCGGTTAGGGTTATGGTTTTGAGGGAGGTGATGGCCATGGGTTAGGATTAGAATTAGAGTTTGTAGAAGAGGATGATGGAGGAGGCGAGGTTTAGGGTTAGAGATTGGAAGGAAGAAGATGGGGTAAAACAAGAATAGCTAATTTTTCGTGGGCGAACAGTAAAAAAAAGGTGTGACATTGCGAACATGTTAGCAAGTAAATGTGGTTTACATTAAAAAAAAACTTTAAAGGTGTTAAGTATAAAATTGGTTAAAAGTAAAAATGGTTTTGATGTAAAAACTCTTCCATCTAATTCATTTGACTTGGTTCATTATGTTTGTCTCATAGAATACCTAAGCAACTAATATACCTATTTTATGGAGTACAATCTACGTAAGCGGTCCATACTCCCAAGGGATTCTGAGGACTTAAATGGTTGTCCTAAGTACCGTTTAGGTCTATGTGGGCACACGGAATGCTTTTTAGAACAATAGTCGGTAAGGGACTGAGGATACAATTTCCTTAAGCTTGAACTTGAAGTTTAGCGCATGAGTTTGATGTAGAAAAGTAGCTAGGTAAAGCGAGATAAGAGTGAGATAAATTTGGACGCTGGTCGTCGAGTTTAACTAGATTAGGCGTACACGTAACAACTCATTTACAGTTGTTAGCCAAACTGGAACGGGATGCAGTACAAGTACGACAACTGCTTAAATCAATAAGCCCTCGATTCTTTGCAACGGAGAAACTGTGCCATGTACATTACAAAAGCGGGGAATACATTTTTTGATAAAAATATTTTCAACCAAGATATGAGTTATGTCTGGATTTTAATTGTTTGGACTCTTTTTCGATCTTGACAGAATATGTGAAGGATTTGGTCATGTCTGCCGTCTGAACTGTCAGTCGATTCTCGCGGCTAAAGGTGACGTAATCTTATATACACTCAATGGGTAGATAACTTCTCAATGTCGGATCAACTGAAATGTTATCGGTTTTCACTAGTAATGTCATATCCCCTAGTGCTGGTCAACTGAAACTGAAGCCATTTCAGACAAAAATGCTGAACACTGTATTTGACAAATACACAGGTTCACGACTGTACTGTTGTTTATCCACTAAATTCTATTTTTTTAAACATTATTATCTAAATCTACAAGTCCACTGAAACTTAGGCCCCAAGACATTCATCGCTATGCTTGACAAAACAATGGCTAGTTAGTATCTGCTTTCCCACCACAAAGTCACAAAGAAGACTGCTGATGTCATTTAGGGGACTCAATCAACTATACCTTTTCAAATATGAAAGCTACAAGGAGCTTATTCATGATTAACTATGGTTCTTTGTACTGGATCAAGAGATCGCTCTGAAAATAGAACAGCGAGAACAGAATTTAGGTCTTAAAAGATACATCAGGTATTGTGACCAAACAGAATTTGATTGTCATCCTTCACTGCATAAATTCCTAATCTCTTAAATTTATATGGTAATACTCAACAAAAGGGGTTAGTCGCATCAGTAGTCGTTATATTTATCTCATAATTGGACGTTCATACCTATATTCTAATTGTGTGGATGGTTGATCATGTAATTAAATACTAATTGGATTCTTAACTACTTCCAACATTTTTTGCCGATTAACGTAACATATTTTCATTGACGTGACATAAAATTAAGCTTTTGATCATTTGACATAACATATTTATTATTCCTATGCGCAAACTTTGATCACTTACGGAAATAAAATTTGTGACATATCGGACAACATGTATTGGATAATTATATAGCATTTGACACTTTTTTTTTCTTTGAAAACATTAACTCGTGGCATATTGAGTAAACTGTATTGCTTAAAAATAAATGAAAATATACAACTTAGATAAACGAAAAGTGCTAGAAAAGACCAACAATCTCATTGATATTTAATTATATGATCGGTCATTCAAGCAATTAAAACACATATATAAATGTTGAGATAAATATAGTGACCAGTAATCTAATAAGCCCAACCAAAGATATCAATTTAAGGGATTATCTAGATAATCAAATGAAATAAAGGAATTATTTGCTAGGTTAATAAAATAATGGAATCTTCTGCACTACTTTGGCTGTTGTGCATGTGGCACGAAGTTGCAAGCAATTAAGTCAATGCAAAATAGTATTAAAAGAAAAAAAAAAATAGAAAGGAGGATGCACGACAAATATTCTAATGTTCAAATGACGGTCACTTCATCAAACAAACATAGGTTGCTTTGGGCCTTGAGAAATTCTCAAACAAGTTGACGTGCTTGTCCAAATCCTTTGAAGTCAATGGTTGTTGAATAACAAAATCTTGCGACAAACACTTTGTTGCATATTTTTATTCTGTTCATTTGACCGTCCCTGAAGTAATTAGTACTCCTCAGATTGTTCGATCGCCCTCTAATGGTCTAAAGCTCAAGTGGTCGTTCACTCGTACCGCGGTCTGTAACGCCCAGGGAAGTTCCCAGAAGAGAGAAGCCCTTAACAACCGCAGGATGCAAGCGGATCGGGTCCGTACCGGGTTTTATGTAACCGGAACTCACCCGAAACAACTATGGCAAATCCATCTCCACTGACACCACCGAACATTTAAGTCAGGTTTGAAACCGTTTTGTTGGGTACTTCGTATGCATGCATATTTAGATTTTAGACTTTAAATCCTTATATAGTCAATGGGTAAATAGTTGGTTCAAATCAGGGCAAAATCAGGTGGGGCCACCTGTAGGATTCCTGTAGTCAGTTTTTATATCCTCTCCAATATCACACCTCTCACGACGCTACAATACTCTTACATTCATACTTAAAAACACCAAGAAGCTGAACTTTTGCTTACCTCCTGATTCCTGATGAAGCTCCCAAGCATCCATCTCCTCCTCATCCAACTCGTCCTCCTCCAATGCTTTGCCGCCGCATCTCAGCCCTCCAACGCCACCGACAAATTCACACTCCTTGCTCTCAAATCATCGATATCCGGCCGTCTATTAGCCTCGTGGAATGACAGTATTTTGTACTGCCAATGGATCGGAGTTAGATGCAGCGAGAAGCACCCCGGAAGAGTCACTGCGATAGATCTCGTGTCATTAAACTTAGCCGGTTCAATCACCCCCTCCATAGCCAACCTCACTTTCCTCCAAAGCCTAAACCTCGCCAATAATAATCTTATTGGTCGCATTCCGGTGGAAATCAGCAGTCTTCATCGCCTTAAATATCTCAATTTGAGCATGAACTCTCTCGAGGGGGAGATTCCACATTCTATTTCCAACTTGTCGAGCATTCGAACTATAAGCTTGAAGGGAAACAGGCTGCAGGGAGAAATACCCTCAAATCTCAAGAGCTGTCTAAACCTGCAGATACTTGTTCTGAGCAACAATCAGCTCAATGGAGAGATCCCTGGTGAGCTTGCTTCGATCGCAAATCTCAGTTACCTTGATCTCGGTACTAATAATCTTGTAGGTAGCATCCCTCCATCCCTAGGCAATCTCTCCTCTCTTCTAGCTATCGATCTCTCAAACAACACTCTAACGGGACGAATCCCATCTTCCTTTGGCCAGCTTAGTTCTCTAGTTTTCCTGTATTTAAACAATAACAAACTAGTGGGCAAAATCCTTCCTCTCGACAACCTTACTTCCACAGCTTACATCAATCTTTCGTATAATAATCTCACGGGAGGCATCCCTCCTTCATTTGGAAATCTCTCTTCCCTAATCAGCATTGATCTCACCGTGAACCTTCTCTCAGCATCAATTCCTGCATCGCTTGGAAATCTCCCTTCTCTCACTTCTCTATCATTAACCGGAAATGCTTTTTCTGGACCTATACCATCTTCTATAGGATGCTTGCCCTCACTAAGCTTTCTTGCACTTTCACATAACCAACTCTCTGGCAAGGTCCCGTCCAGCATCTACAACTCATCAATACTGCAGCATTTAGGCTTAGCCGACAATCAACTTGCTGATACGCTTCCATCAGACTTGGGTCAGAAACTTCCTGCTCTCCAATCTCTAATATTGTACTATAATGGATTCCACGGGCTACTTCCTATGTCACTAGCAAATGCATCAGGACTATCAGATATTGAGCTAACTGGAAACACGTTCAGTGGAACAATCCCTTCAAACCTTGGAAACCTGCAAAATTTATACTGGCTGAATTTAGACCGTAATGAGTTTGATGCTAGAGATATTGGAGGTTGGAGCTTCCTTGATTCTTTAGTGAACTGCAGTGAACTTCAAGCACTGAGTTTGGACTACAATGGTCCAAAGGGACTTGGAGGCGTTATGCCCAAATCTGTAGCTAATCTCTCTACAAATCTACAATGGTTGGCGTTGGGGGGTAACAAGATTTCTGGAAGAATACCTGAAGAAATTGGGAATCTTGCAAGCTTAACTGTTTTGGGTATGGACGAAAATTTTTTAAGTGGTGGTATTCCTGCAAGTATTGGCCAAATTCAGAGTCTACAAGAACTGTATTTATCTGGAAACAAGTTGTCAGGTACTATTCCATCATCTCTTGGTAACTTGACTCAACTGAATAAACTTCTTATAGGAGAGAATGCCTTGGAAGGAAGTATTCCTCCCATACTTGGAAATTGTCAGGCTCTGCGACTGCTTAACCTTTCATACAATCAGATTACAGGTACCATTCCTAAAGAAATCATTAGCATTTCGTCGCTCACTGAATTTGTCGACTTGACTCACAATTTCCTCACGGGACCCTTGCCTCCGGAAGTTGGTCAATTGAGAAATCTAGTACAGTTTTACGCGTCTGAGAACAATTTATCTGGTGAGATTCCAGGTAGCATTGGGGAATGTGAGCTACTGGGTACACTTTATATGGATCATAACCACTTTCAAGGGCCCATTCCTTCATCCGTGAGCAATTTGAAGGGCATTCAGAAGTTGGATGTTTCACACAATAACATGTCAGGTCATATCCCGAAGTTCCTACAGGACTTCAGGTTTTTGGAATATTTGAATCTTTCTTTCAACAATTTTGAGGGTGAGTTGCCAACAAAGGGGATCTTTCGAAATCTGAGTGCAGTTTCAGTTCTTGGAAATAATGGCCTCTGTGGAGGTGAATCAGAACTTCACTTGCCAGTGTGTTCTTCTAGAACTGTCGGGAGAAAAGGTGACTCTCAGAGACGGAACACTATCATCTTAGTTTCTGTTGCTTCTCTATGTTCTATGCTCCTTGTATGTTTGCTCGTAGCTTGGTACTTCTCAAATCATATAAGAAAGGATGCAGGACAATCATCAGAATCAATGGAAGAAGGAAATCTTATGAAAATCACTTACTCGGAGATCCTTAAAGCAACAGATGGGTTATGTCCAGAAAATTTAATTGGTGTTGGTAGTTTTGGCTCTGTGTACAAGGGGATCATGAATTTTGGTGAAGATGAGTTTGTCGCCATAAAGGTACTGAATCTTCAGCATAAAGGAGCTACCAAGAGTTTCATGGCAGAATGTAATGCCTTGAGAAGCGTACGGCATAGAAATCTTGTCAAGATATTGACTTTATGCTCAAGTGTGGATTCTAAAGGCAATGACTTTAAAGCTCTAGTTTTCGAATACATGCCTAAAGGGAATTTAGACAAATGGTTACATCCAGAAGGAGAGGAAGACGACCTAAGGATTTTAAGCCTTGAGCAAAGGCTAAACATAGCAATTGATGTTGCTTTTGCATTGGATTATCTTCATCACCATGGACCAGTACCAATTGTTCACTGTGATCTCAAGCCTAGCAATATTCTCTTAGACGATGACATGACTGCTCATGTAGCTGATTTTGGATTAGCAAAAATTCTAGAGAAAACTGTTGCAAATAAAGTTCAGACGTCTACTGGATCCATAGGAATGAAAGGAACAATTGGATACGTTGCTCCAGGTAAGTATGGATCTTTTCACTACTTTTTGCATGTGCATGTTTTCTGACAGGGAAACATTATTGTTCGCATATTTGCATATTTGACACTTAGAACAACATCATATATCAATTATATATAGAAATTTTCATCAAACACGCCTA